GGTTTCCTCCCACTTAGGGTTATCGAGAGATGGAGGTACTTAATTCTTTAGTGACACCCGCGCGGACCAGGTCGATCACAGGACGTAGCGTAGACGATATTGAGAGGGCTGTGACAGTCTATCTCCAAAGGGTACGCTTCTAATTCTATGCGTATGTATATACACATTTTTTTTTGGCATGGTTATACCACTTGACTCTTATATTGTCTTCTCATCCTTTAGGTGGTGGCCCTTCAGTCCGAGCTTGTCGAATCGAGTCGTCGCCATCCTTAGAGCTGAAGACTCTTGCAGAGGAAAAGAAAAAGGAGGCTCGTCACTACAAGAAGATATCTTCCTTGAAGAAAACTCTTGAGGCGCTTGAGCCTGCGAGCAGGAGACAGAGAATGACCATTTGCAGTCTGAGTTGGCTCGTGCTCAAGAGGAGGCGATTGAGAGGTATAAGGCCTCTGCTAGGTACACTAGGGACTTGGAGGCGTCTGTTAAGCAATACAAGTCATCGTCTGATTATGCCGGGGCTTTGCATTAGTACGGGAGGAAGGCGATGGCAACGTCCATCAAACTGACCAAGGAATGGATATCGATCGAGCATCCTTCTATTAACCCCTCAGGTTTTGACAAGTTCCTTGCACAACGCAAGGGGAAGGAGAGTAGGGCGCAGTTATCTAGGTCACTTGGTCCTTCGCCGCGAGGCGGCAGTGATGGTGTTTCCCCTTAGCAGTAGCACCTTTTATTAGTTCTTCCTCTTTTTTTGTGTTGCCTTTTATTTCTACATGTAGCATCGTTTCCTACTTGTTCGGGGTGTGGGCAAGACTACATTACATGCTTTTTGTATGAATGCTATGTTATCGATGGTCATTAATGTTGAAGCTTATTTCTCCTGCGTTATTTCTCGCGTTCAGCTATTTGATTGCATGGGTGAATGTCATTTGTCTCGCGTGCGCTATGCCTTAGCTAATTTTTTGACTTTTCAAAGCCCTCCGCCTAGCCCCTTGGGCTATGTCGACCGTTGAGGGCATGGTCTAGCGGTTTAGGGCCTTAACTAAATTTTTGGCTTCAATGGCTCTCCGCCGAGCCTCTTGGACTGTGTCGACCATCGGGGGCATGGTCTAGCGGTTTAGGAACTTAACCAAATTTTTGGCTTCAATGGCCCTCCGCTAGCCTCTTGGGCTGTGTCGACCGTCGGGGGCATGGTCTAGCGGTTTAGGGCCTTAACCAAATTTTTGGTTTTAATGGTTCTCCACCTAGCCTCTTGGGCTGTTTCGACCGTCAGGGGGCATGGTCTAGCAGTTTAGGGTCTTAACCAAATTTTTTATTTCAATGGCTCTCCGTCTAGTCTCTTGGGCTATGTCGATCGTCGGGGGCGTGGTCTAGCGATTTAGGGCCTTAACCAAATTTTTGGTTTCAATGGCTCTCCGCCTAGCCTTTTGGACTATGTCGACCACATGTCTTCATGGGATGAGCATGGAGATTCAAGATTCCTGTGAGCATAAAAAATTCTTGGATTTGTGAGCTCAGTAAGCGCACCGGGACGTCCCAGCTAGGCTGGCCCTTCCGTAGCGCCCTCATCATCTGCCACTGCCAAGGTCTTTCATTTAATAAGATAAAATATTACAACTAAGGGCGCCTTCGTGAGGCGTTACACGGAGAGAATAAACGATGCAACCTATTCTACTATATTTACAAAAGCGTAGCCTGTGCACCTATTTCGAAATCTACTGGTAATACTTTTTGAGGCGTTCTACGTTCCATAGCCTACCTAGTGGCCTTCCTTTCATATCTTTCAAGCTGTAAGCTCCCTTCCCCAGCTCGCGGATTACTTCGTATGGGTCTTTCCAGTTTGGACCAAACTTTGGTGGGGGGTGTCCTGCTGCTGCTGCATCTCTTAGCATGAGATTTCCTATCTGGAAGACTCTTGGCTTTACTCTTCAATTGAAGTACTCGACGGCTCTTCGTTTATAAAACATCATTCTTATTGCTGCCTTCTCCCTTACCTCTTCAAGAAGGTCGAGTTCTCCCCTAGTCCCTGCATCGTCGGGCTGCTTGACTTTCATCCTGCCTGTCTCGCTTAAGATCTCAACTCGAACCACGGCCTCCATTCCAAAGGCCAATCTGAACAGTGTCTAGCCGGTCGGCTCTCAGGGAGTTATGTGATACTCCCATAGCACATTGGGCAACTCATCTGCCCAAAACCCTTTCTTCTTTTCAAGCTTTATCTTCAGATCCTATAGTATGGCTCGGTTGGTCACTTCGGCCTATCCATTTGACTGTGGGTGAACGAATGAAGTCATCCTGTGATCTATGTGGTAGCTTGTGCAGGAGGCTCTAAAACTGTGATTGTCGAATTATTTGCCATTATCTGTAATAACCACTCTGGGTATGCCAAACCTGCATATGATATTTTTTCCGGACGAATCCTTGTACTTTTGTAGTTGTGATGGTGGCTAAGGGCTCAACCTCCACCCACTTAGTAAAGTAGTCTATGGCGACTAGCAGGAACTTCTTTTGTCCCTTAGCTAGGGGCAAAGGCCTCAAGATGTCCATCCCCCATTGGAAAAAGGGACATACCCCAAAAACTGCTGTCTGTTGCTTGACTGGAACATGGATCAAATTTCCATGGTGTTGATATGCATCGCACTTCCTCACCAACTCCTTAGCGTCTTCCTTCATACTAGACCAATAATATCCTTGTCGAAGTGTCTTGAACGCAAGGGCGGTCGCCCCTTGGTGGTTGCCACAAATTCCTGCATGTATCTCGACTAGCACCTCATGCGCTTCTGTCGGCCCCAAACATTTCAAATATGGCATTGTGAAACCTTGCTTGTAAAATAGTCCACCGATGACGACAAATGAGGCTGCTCGGACTTTTAGCTTTCTTGCTGCGAATGCATCTTCCGATAACTTGTTCTTTGTGAGATATTCAACCAAATGGTCCATCCAACTCTTCCCTTGCTCTACATTCACAACATCGACCGCGGGTTAGATGCTAGGTCGCCGCAAGATTTGCATGCTTGTTGTGCGAGGCAGACGTCTGGGGTTTGTGGATGCGAGCTTAGCCAGTGCGTCTGCCCGCTCATTGTCTTTTCGGGGGACCTTTGTTATTTTGAACCTGGTGAACCCCTTCTGCAAGTTTTTGACCTCCATTAAATATGCTGCCATCTTTCCGTCTTTAGCTTCGAATTCCCCCGTCACTTGCCCGATTATCAACTGAGAGTCACTGCAAATCTCTACTGAAGCCACCTCGAGTCTGGCTGCCAGTCCTAAACACGTGATTACTGCCTCATACTCGGCATCATTATTTGTAGCTGGGAATTCAAAACGCAGCGAGTATTCCAACTCTTCACCATTTGGACCTACTATTATGATCCCCGTCCCGGCTCCCTCATCATTTGAAGATCCATCCACATAAATTTTTCAATCTGCTTGTTCCCCCGGCGGGTGCTCGGGCGGAATGGTGAGCTCAACGATGAAGTCTACTAGAGCCTGTGCCTTAATAGCCGTCCTTGGCCTGAATTCAATATCAAACTCACTTAACTCGATTGCTAATTTCAACATCCTCCTAGAGGTCTTTGGTCGATGTAGGATCTGCTTGATAGGTTGGTCAGTCATTACTTGCTCCGTGTGAGATTGAAAGTAAGGCCTCAACTTCCTAACTGCGACAATTAATGCAAACACTAGCTGCTCTGCCAGGCTATATCCTACCTCTGCGCCCCTCAATACTTGGCACACATAATAGACCGGTTTTTGTGCCTTTGCGAACTCTTTCACTAGCACCGCGCTGACTGCCTTTGGTGAGACTGCCAAGTAGAGACACAACACGTCCCCGGGGCATGGGCTGGTCAAGATCGGGGGCTCATGTAATGACTGCTTCAAGCTCTTAAGTGACTCTTCACATTCCCTGGTCCACTCGAAGTTGGAGAAACCTCCTATAGCCTTAAAAAATGGTAGCATTTGTCCGCTGCCCGGCTTATGAAACAATTTAAAGTGGCTACCCCGCCCTGTTAGCCTCTGGACCTCCTTCCTACTATTAGGGCTTTTCATTTCTAGGATTGCCTGAATTTTGTCCGGGTTCACTTCAATGCCTCTTTGCGTGATCATGAAGCCTAGGAATTTTCCTCCTATAGTACCAAAATCACACTTTTCTGGATTGAACCTTAATTTGTTTTGTAGGGCAACGTCAAACACTCTTTGCAAACATGCCACATGGTCATCAGCCTTGGCGCTCTTGACCACCATATCGTCAACATAAGCCTCTACAACATCTCCAATCAAACCATGAAAGACTTTGTTCACCATCCCTTGATAAGTCGCACCGACATTTTTCAAATCGAATGGCATGGCCGTGTAACAGTATGTGCCAAAGTCTGTGATAAATGACGTCTTCTCTTGGTCGGACTCGACCATTGAAATTTGATGATATCCAGAAAATGCATCTAGAAAGCTGAGCCTTTCATGACCCGATGTAGCGTCTACCAGGTGATCTATCCTGGGAAGCGGGTATGATTCTTTTGGGCATACCTTGTTCAACCTAGTATAATCTACACACATGCGCCATTTTCCGTTTGACTTTCTCACAAGTACAATGTTTGCCAACCACTCGGGGTATTGCACCTCTCGAATGAAAGCAATTTTTCTACTTTTGCTTTGGCTGCGACCTGCCTCTCTGGGGCAAGATTTCTTTTTTTCTGCTTCACTGGCTTAGCCCCCGGTAGGACACCGAGGCGGTGCTGCGCGACGGTCGGGCTAATCCCTGGAATGTCCTTCGGGCCCCAAGCGAACACGTCCAAGTTACCGGCTAGACATTTGGACAATTTTTCCTTCTCTTCGGATTCCAAACCTGTTCCAACACTAAACTCCCGTCCCTCGGCTATAAAGATTTTTTCAATCATATCGAGCGGCTCGATCCATCCCCTTGGGAGTTTCACATCCAGCATCATGATTGATGGTGAGCCTTTGGCCTGTATACTATCCACATAGCATTTTCTTGATGCGTGCTGGTCCCCTCACACGCTCCCGACTCCTCTGCTAGTTGGGAACTTCATAATTTGATGGTAGGTCGATGGGACAGCGCCAACTACGTTTAGCAATGGCCCACCATAGATGGCGTTGTAGGCCATGGGGGTCTTCACAACCAAGAAATTAGTCACAATCACCACTGTCGCTGGGTATGTGCCTAGCGTAACTGGGATCTTTACAGTTCCTTCCGGTATCACTGTTGCCCCTCCAAAGCCTTGTAGAGGGGTAGTCACCATCTTCAACTTCTCTAGGGGAATTTTTAAACCCAAGAAGGCATCCCAGATGAGGACATTTGCCGCACTTCCTCCATCGACAAGCACCCTCTTTGCGTCAAAAACTACTATATCGCCTACTATCACTAAGGCATCATCATGGGGATGCGCTATACCGATCAAGTCCTCTTCGTCGAAAGTAATGCTCTGGTTGAACCTTGCTTTTTTCTGGATAGAGCAGACCCCTGCGGAACGCGCATAGCTCTTTCTAACTGAATTTGAGTCGCCACCCGATGCTACTCCCCCAATGATCATGTTTATCACTCCCGCCCTTGGTGGGGGTATTCCTTCGAGCCTTTGTCTGTCCCTGTCGTTTTTTACATACTTGACCAATAGTCCCCGCCTTAGCAGGCACTCAATTTCTTCCTTCAACTGTAGAAATTCTTCTATATCACGTCCGTAATCTTTGTGAAAATGGCAGTACTTACTTTGATTTCTCTTGCTGGAGGAAGTCATCATCGGTTTAGGCCATTCGAGCTCTTTCATGTGCTGTATCTCCATTAATAACTTCGTATGTGGGATGTTCAAAGGGGTGGGTGCCTTGGCCTCCTCTCGCTTCTGCTTGACCGACCGGTCTTGGGCATAACCCTTGTTCATGCGTTCATTCTTCGGCTTATTCTTATCAGTGTGCCTTCGCTCATCATACGCTTTTCGCTTATGTGCTTCCGTATCCCATCCTTCCCTGAGATTTTTGGTCACTTTCTCTGCTTCCTCCGCATCGACAAACTTATCTCCCTTCTTCAATAGATCGTGCATTGACTCTGGGGGGTTTTTGGAGAGTTACATTTTAAAGGCTCGGTTTCGCGTTCCATTCATCAAGGCAGTAACCACTGCGGACATTTGCAGGTCTTTTATGCCAAGAGTAGCCCGGCTAAACCTAGCCAAGTATTCCTGCAATGACTCTACTTTCTCCTGTACGACCTGCATCAACCCAACGGCTATCTTCCTCTTCCTTTTACTACTTAGGAAGTAAGCCACAAAACTCCTGGAGAGCTCATCAAATGTCTTGATAGACCGCGGGGCCAAGGTCGCTACCCAATCCCTGGCCTCCCTCCTGAGTGTGTGGGGAAAGGACCGGCACATTACAGCGTCCGGGGCAACATAAAGTCTTATCAAGTCTACAAAGGTCCGCAAGTGGTCAAGCGGATCTGTGACTCCGTCATATGCTTCTATCATGGGCTGCTTGAAGCCTTTAGGCAAGGGGACAGCCATGATCTCAGGGGCGAACGGGTGTTCCTCCAACACTATCTGCCTTTGTCTATCCTTTCTCTTGGACAGTGCATCATCTATCTTTTGGGCCATGATTTCTTCCATCTTTTGTTCCAGGTCCACCATGGCTTGTGGTGGCTGCTGATCTACGACCACTAGGGCCCCCGTGCCTCCCATCCCTTGTAGAGGGATGGGTGGAACAACCGCTGGTGGCGCTTGAGGCGGTTGCTAGTTCGTCGCTTTCGTCGAACTCAATGGAGGGACCGTGTCTCTCCGCGACTGGTTTTGCAAGAGCGCCATCATTGTTGCCATTTGAGTCTCCAAAGTGCTGAACTGACTCTGCGTCACATACTGCGGAGGCGGCGGTGGCTCGTGACCCCTTACAATTGACTCCGACTCCGTTTCCGCCATATTTCCAACCAAACGAGTATCACTCCTTGTTCGTCTTCTCGACATAGCTTTTTAGTTCAAATGATTTCCCACAAACGACGCCAATGAAATGGTTGTGGAACAATACCTTTCTATCTGCCTGGTGGCGTTCGGTATTCCGACTACTCCGTCAAGTGTTTGTGACCTGAAAAATGAAGGCGGGGATTCCTTCCCCGTTTTACCTCCGGTGTGAGAATTAGTTTTTAGACCTGCAATTGGAAATCAGATGGCTAAAAAGAGTGAGAGAGAAAAAGCTTTACCTGTGTCACATCCGGGGTATTTATAGATATTGGAAGCTGGATAACTGCTGGGCGGTTGTGGTGTCACGTGTCCCACGTTGGCATTCCCACTACCCCCACGTTTTGAGTGGGGGGTCTTTATCTTCCTGCCTGGAGGCTGTACCCGTGTTAACTGCCATGGAACCTAGTCAATTTACTAGAGGTTTTATGGCTAAGTGTTTGGGTTGACAATTCTGTGCCCGTTGAAGGTCTCGCTTAGTGGTAGAGCGCCCCTGGGGGTATTGGTAGAGCGCTCCCTGGGGGTTGTGGTAGAGCTCCCCCTGGGGGTATTGGTAGAGCGCTCATGGGGAGTCGACGGCTTTGCATAGTGGTAGAGCACCCCCCGGGGGTAATGGTAGAGCGCTTCCCAGGGGTATTAGTAGAGCGCCCCTAGGGAGGTCGACCGCCTTGCGTCGAAGTGTAGTAATCCATCTTGCTTGTATGTCGAGGGTCGACTCTTCTACGAACCTATATCAAGAATGAATGTGACGCATTTCCAGTGGCCAAACTGTTGAAAAGTCCGGTACATGTAGATGGATCATATTCACCGACTTCATCTGAAGCTTGTGAATCAGGTAGAACTTCCAGTGGGAGAAGGTTGAATCCTACAAAGAAAGATGTATTAACATCAAAATGAGGAGAACATAATGATCTTCGTCAAATTTGTCAAGAAACTCATGATTGAATAGTTTACCGTGTTTTTATCTATTGTGTAGTTGTATGTTATGACGTTGTTTGTAATTATAGAATATTTTTTTATTATTTTGTCGGGAGAATGTGAGATTGAAAATAAGTTCGAGAAGAGTCTCTTTGGCTTGTGTTTCAGTTTTAAGTTTTGAATTTATTTTTAGTTTTATGTTTTTAGGGTCTATTTTAATATTGTTAAAAACGTGTTTGGTTTGTCATTTTGAAAAATTATTTCTCAAATAGAAAACTAAAAACCACTTTTGATTTAAAATTTTGAAAAATTATTATATGACATTTTATTCCATGAAATTTGAGTATTTAGTAAAAATAGAATAATTTTATATTAATATATTATTTCATAATATATACGTTTTAAGGTTGATGAAATTTACAATATTTTTTCTTGCAGGGTAAAATAATAATAATGATGGTAATGATGATAAATTGAGTTCAAAATATAAGAAATAAAAATAAAAATTAATGACTTGGATTAAGAACATTTTTATCTGTGTTCAATGTTATTTTTTTATAAAATATATATATATATATATATATATATATATATATATATA